TTTTTTTTTTTTTTTCTTTAAGGTACCGAATTGATGAGTTTCATCACCAAAAACTGATAAATTTATACATCCAAAGAATAATAATTCACGCATGTTTGGTAAATTAAACATAAGTAATTAAAAATTAAATAATAATTCACACATGTTTGACCGGTATATATAATCTTTGACTATATCTTTGAATTAGAACTATTAATTATATGAGTAATGCTCACCTATCCACGGTGAGCACATAATTAATATGCCCACCGTTTATGTGACATTCACTCATTAGTGATACTTTTTTTGAACATATTAACATCACCAATGTGTGCATGCCACATAAACGGTGGGCATATTAACATGTAGCTACGGTGGACATGGAACATAATTGTCAATTATATTTGTTCTTCAAATTCAGACATTGACTCGTGTGGCATTGAATATCACCGAATTTTTGTTCTTAAATAATTAAGTATGAATTTAAGATAATGTTTTGGATCTTTACAACGAATATCACCGAGTTTGAAGAATATATGTGCAAGCAAAATGCAGTAGTTAAAAATCTAGCTTTTTCATTACGTGCTATCAATATTTGTTACACGCTAAACATACATAAGGGAAAATATTATAATTAATTAACTGATTTATTTCTATTTGTACAAATAATTCATTATATTGACATTTTATTTATTTTTTGTCTATTATATTGATAATTTAGTTATAAATAGTGCAAATGTTGATCTGAAATGATTATGTAATTTTTAATGTTTTATTTATGAATTAATGACCAAAAATCTAATTTTGGTCCTCTAAGTTGTCATTGCCAGTTTTGGTGCACCAACTTTTCCTTCATAAAAATTAGTAAATTATGTTACAATTTTCGTCAATTTTAGTACAGTAATCCCGATGGGCCGGATTACGTAATGCTGTGGAAAATTGTAATCATTCCATGTCAAAGTTCTATCCATTTACGTCGTTTCAATCCTTGTTCACGTCATCACGTAATCCGGCCCCTCGGGATTAGACATGGCCAGTCAACGGGCCGACGGGCCTCCCATGGGTGACCCTTAACCGGCCCGCCAAAAACCAAGGGTCGGGTCCATCGAATTGGCCCTGTCCCGGACCGCCAGGACAAAAAAAAAAAAGAACATGGAAACGACCCGTAAAGCTGCGGTGCCGAGTTCTCGAAAACGACAACCTACGGGCCGGTACTGGGTTGAGACCAAGACGACGAGCCGGGCCGATTCGTGGTCATGTCTACTCGAGATTACTGTACTAAAATTGACGAAATTGTAACATAGTGGACTATTTTTTATGTGAGAAAAGTTGATATACTAAAACTGAACAATGACCAATTTTAGAGGACCAAAATTAATTTTTGCCAATAAATGATTATAACACATCAAAATCACCTATTCCTAAGCTCATCAAAACCCAGCAAAAGGTGTGTAATCAGCCGATTCACTAAATCGCGGTCATATCTTAAAGAGATTCGTCCTTAATACAATGTCAATTATAATTGCCCCCACTCATAATTTGCCTCAAATTATTAAACCCTAAATAAACATAGGTTAGCCTCAAATTATTAATCCTAAAAATCAACGTAAGATGAACCGAAATTATGATGCTAATAATCTCTTTCACGAATAATGAAGTGCTCCTAATTTCAAAGTGATTTTTTAAAAGTAAATTTCGACCCGATACTAGTTTTGTAGACGCCCACATCTTTAGAAAAAAAGGTCTGCACAAATAGATAATGTTCCTCAACCAACAGTGAACACATGTTAATTTGTCCACCGCTTATGTAGCATGCACACATTAATGATGTTAAGATACAAATTTCGACCCGATACTAGTTTTGTAGACCAAAAATACACCAAAAATATCCAAATTTGAAGGACAAAAATAACACATTCATTTTGATCCCCAAACGTGAACACTTCAATATCGTGTATTATTCGTATAGTACTATTATATAAATAATAATTTCTAACTTTCTTTTAATTTTGTTATGTACACAAAAGAAT